CAGGACAGCAGTGACTGCAGTGGACCCCTAAGAAGAAGCATGTGAGTCCTGAGGCTTTGTCAGATGTCCCAGAGCCTAAGAGGCAGTGGAAAGGAGGACTTTGTATTCATATCAGCAAGAAGGGGCCTGGATCCAGACTGCATGTAGTTTAAACACATATGTAAGTGTGGCATTAGCAATATCCCAAGAGTCATGCTACGAATAAGTTAGGTTCCGAAGACTTTGGGAGGAAATGGTTTTACCGTTTTTAAAAAAGTTTGGAAACAAAACTGTGGGCCTCTCTGCTTCCTCTAGCCATGCTTTTCTTTAACCCAGGAAGGACGCTACTGAAGGCATCCAGTTCTTCTGGGTTCCTCAGCCAAGGGCATGAGCACATAGCTTTGCCAGTATCTAGCAGCACAGGTCAGGTCTCTACACCAAAGAGCAGAGGAAAATCTAGAGGAAGGGGAAGATCAGAGCAGCAGCACCCTCATGATTACTCAGCACTCCACCGTAAGTGTAGCTGAGTTCCGGTAAACCAAAGGACGGCTTCCTCCCACCCCTCCTCTCACTCCCACTGTGCTTTTTAATTTAATTTTATTGTTTTGCATCCCAGTCTTTTCAAAATAATAAAAATACACCAGTTGACAGCTAGGAAATATGACAGACCTTGGGATTTTTTTAGCCTCTGACGACTTCCGCCCCAGGGAAGAAGTCCCACGAGAGTGCTATGCTGAGTGGCTAAAATTGAGGCCCCATAGGATTTTAAATATTCCAAGGAAAATAAAGAGGTGATGGCACAAGAGTAGAGATTAAACTTTCATTATCACTGCTCTCCAAGAGTTCCGAAAGAAATGTGGAGCAGAGCCACTGAAGCAGAGCCAAAGCCACTCTCATTTTGGTACCAGCAACTCCTGCTGCCTTTTTTTTTTTTCCTGTGCAATTTATCTTGAAAGTGTGGTTTCTATTCCATGGCAGAGGGGAAGCTGGAAGTCAATTTCATCCATTGCCTTTGAAAAGGATACCATGGGTGGTGACCAGGGGAATTAAAACAAAAGAAAAAATCATATGCTCTATGTGGAAAAATAATATTCAGCAGCCTGAAGGAGACAAGTGTCGCTGTTTAGGGTCTAGAACCTGTGAGGGCTGCAGGGAGCCTGCAAAGGATGCCTTTTAGGACACTCAGTAGTGCTTCAAGTGCCTCTCTTCATAACAAAAGTAGAGCGGCACCCCATTTCTGGACGAGAGAATGCTAGGACAGGTGGGCTGCCTGATTACCTCTTCCTTTTCAATGAATTCCCTCTACTCCTAGGCAATTGAGGAGAGAAGACTGGAAGACTGGAAGTAACTGTGTTGTTTTCCAGAAAAATGTGTCCAGTTAGATTGTTGTTTCATATGTATCGCAGAATGAAATCCAAGCTGATAACAGGCCCCAGAGATAATGTTTACTGGATATTGTAAGAGAAAGGCTACGTGGATGAAAGCAAAAAGCAAAACAGAAATTTTTGATAGAATTGATTAAATGAAAATATGGACTCCCAAACAGCATAAAACATTATAGGTTGAATTAATAGGCAAACATATAACACAGAAAATATTTGTAATGTTTAAGATAGACAAAAGTACTTTTTACGTAATTGTTTTAATAATCAGTAAGAAAACCTCCAGTGAAAAAATAGGGCAAGAACATACTTAGGGCTCAAAATGCAAATGATCTCTAAGCACACGAACAAGATTCCACCTCATAAAGAATCCAATTGTTGAAATAATTCATACTCCACCCAAATGGCAAATTTGTTTTTAGATGACACACAGCACGCTGATGACACATTTGAAAAACTTTCACTGAAAAAAGTACATGACTGAGAATTTTCTACAAATAAATTGAGTAATTTTTAGTCTAACAGAGGACTCATCCTGGGCCTGGAAAAAATGGTTCCTGACAGCTCAAGGGAAGCACAGAGCAGAGACTGTCTGCATTGTACCCACAGCCATCCAGCCAGAAACTCTAGCACTCCAGCATTATAATGCACTCTCAGGAGGGTCAACACTCCTGTACTTGGTGTATTCTCTTCCTTTACTTCTAGAGTGGCATCACCACCTGAGGCCAGGTGATGTAGTCAGAGCCTGACCCTCCACCCAGCCAGTCTTACAAGAAGTGTATAAGGTTGTCCAGTTTGAAGTCCATCTTCTGTGTCTTCTGTGACATAAAACCTGGGGCCACTAAACTTGGGGTGCCAAGCCATGGAGGTCTACAGCAATGAGTATTACAAGTCTCCATGTCCAGTGACTCAGTAATTCCTCTCCTAGAAATGTGACCTGGTGCAGTAGATATGAAAATAGGAGGGTCTGCCTGAGCACACATATGGAAGCATGTTTTATCTGGGGGAAACCTGAAAATAATCTAAATGTTCTATACCTGAGAGACAGCTAATTAGAAAAAAATCACAGTATGAAGCATTAAATATCTAAGCATAATACACTTAAGAAATGTTTAATGATATATGAAAGTACTCAAAATAGATGAAGTGGAAAACGTTTAAACAAAAACTTTTCTATAGTTAGATCCAATTTTTTTAAATAATGCCATAGCATGCAAGCAAACATTGGTTATCTCTGCTAGAAGAAGTTAATGCTGCTTTGCTTAATTATATGTGTTAGTCAGCCTCCATCACCATGATAAAATACCTGAGCATAACTACTTAGAGGAGAAATGGAAAATTTTGTTTTGGCTTACAGTTTCAGAGGTTTCAGTCCATGGTTGGACAGCTCCATTGCTTTGGGGCCTGTGACAGTGCAGAAGCATGATGATAGAAAGGCTTGGCTGAGGAAAGCTGTACACCTCATGGCAGCCAGTAAACAGAAAAGGACAGAACCAGACAGAAAGTGGCTGAGGACAAGATATGCAGTCACCCCCAAGAATACACTCAGTGACCCACTCCCTTCAACTAGGTCCTACGTCCTAAGTTTCACTTCCCAATGTTGTCGTCAGATTATGGGTCCTCTGTGGACTAATCCCCTGATGAAGTCAGAGACCTCATGATCCAGTCCCTGTCTCAGAGGCTGCCCTCTGAACACTGCTGCCCTGGAAACCACATCTTCTATACACGAGTCTTTGGGGTAATTTTCAGATTTAAACCATAACATGAAATACTTTAAAATCATTTTGTAACTGTGATAGTAAAACATGATAGTTAAAATGACTAGAAAATAGAGCAACACATGAAGCCCCCACACAAATTCCAATCTCCATCCCCAAGACTGTATTGGTGTACGTCCTTCTAGGTACTTTCCGAAGCAGGTCTACACATTATATTTTAGGAAAAAGGAGTCATGTGAGAGTCCCATTCAGAACATATTCAGTGTGCTAAAACTTGATTTTCATCATTCAAAACTACCATATCATAGGTATTGTCTATGAAGAATTATAGGTAGATATGCTTGGTTATTTTTAAACACAAGCTAAATTTATTTGATTACTTCTTAAATGTCCTTCATCTTTTATAATTTCTGTCTTTTCAGATTGTTACGTAATTCTACAATGAGAACATCTGACTTTTAAGGTTACAACAGAGCATATACTTTGTTTGGAAGAGGAAGGAGTCCCTTCTACATGAAGAGAAAGCAGACAATCCTTTGCGAACACCCCTCAGCTCACTGTGTAAATGGAGGGCCCCGTGCTGGAGAAGAGTCCCCCAGGCAGCAGTGGGACACAGTGACCCCGTCCTGCTGCCAGGGGCACCGCAGTGGGCACTGAGGAGACAGCGCACTCACTCCCCACCTACTCCATCACCTTGTTGGCCATGATCTTAGTCCCTGGCTCTCGACAGATGGGGAAACAGCTGTGCTGCTCTGCTGCAGGAGGGAGGGGCTGGCCGTGGAGCTCTCTTCCACCCCATGATTTCCTGCTCGAGCCTCCTAGGAAGGAGACCAGCATTGTCCTTGCCCCTTAGCTGCTTGCACCCTGGTGGGGAGGAGGAGAGGCATGGACATAAGTGACTCTGCCTAGTGCATGCACTGCTTGTGTCCCTGGAGGAATACAGCCTTGAATTCAAAGCCAGACTCACCAACCAGCCTTGTTGAGTAACTGGCTTGTGATTCCTAAAATGAGAAAGAAATCCACCTCGTACGGATAAGGATTAAGGGAGACCTTGGCGAAATGCTCAGCCAGGGCACATAGCTGGGGTGTTTAATAAGTGATGCTGCTCAGAGTCCTTCCCTCTCCCAGGTCCCTTTTCCCTATAACACCTGGGAAGGCAAGACAGTTTTGCTTGGACCCGAATGACCACTCTGATCACTGCTGAAATGCTGTTTTCTGAGACTGAGTCTAGGTTCAGCCTGACAACACTCAAACAGGATGAAAGGAGTGGGGTCGTGACTTCTTATCCTAAACCCAGGCGTTCTCAGAGATTGCTCATTTTAACACTGCTGCACACAAATAAAAGCAGGGAAATAGTTCTGTTACTACCAAATAGGATATTTTAAAATATAATACCAGGATGTAGGATTATGTACGATTCTGGTTTATAGACATCATCTCTTGTACTATGTCAGGCATGATTTTGAAATCCATTACTGATTCTGGAAAAAGAAAAGGAAGAGCAGAGGAAAATACTAAGGCAGAGATGGATCTAAAGGGAAGTAGAATTAGAAACAGCTCTGAACAGAAGTAGGGAAAGTAACTTCCAGGTAGCTTTGGCACACAAGATCCTCAGAAACCAAGATGCTTTGAGCTCAGTGCTGTATACGCCCACATTTGAGTTACCAGAGCCACTTGGCAACTAGGATTCTGACCAGCTCCATCAAGAATGGTCTTGCCTAGCTATCATGATTCTACCGAGGGTGTGAACCCGAGATCAGGGGTTTCTGGGTGAATCACCACCTGTGTGAAACTCTGAAATACCTGGGGCACTTAAAAACCAACTGCTTATATGGGGGAAAAAAATCTCCTCTTTCGTGAAGCCACCCCTGTTCCCTCGGATTAAAGCGTCCTTGCCCTGCTTGAAGTTCTTACGGCTCACCCAGATCTGCTGTCTCCGGGTCTTCATTTCATTTCATTCAGGGCATAACAGGTGCTGGGCAAATGTCCATGAGGTGTACCGAAGCAGACAGGCACACGCAGATCACTCTAGATAAATAACACACAGCGTCAGTCATGCTCATCCTAAGCCACAAGCTCCTTGACCCTCTTAATGCTAGGTGGCCACGCAGCTGAAATGATGGAGCAGGCCTGACACAGGGCCTGCGTGGGTGGAGGTGTGCTTTCCCACAGCCGCTGGACTCCACAGAACTGCTTCTGTGCAGGAATCGGCACACAGATTTCCCAGCTCCTCCCATTTCTCAGAGGCGGGAGATCTGGACAGACGAGCAAGGGGGTCATCAGCGTATGTTTAGTTATGCAAAGTGGGACAAATAGAAGACAGCTGTGGGCCAGAGCCAGCCCAGAGGCTGCTAGCGCATGCACTGTCTGAGGGTGTCCATGGCACCGTCTCCTTCCTGGGATATTCTTTTGGATCTGTCCCTATCTGGGAACCTCTATCCTTGAATCAATGTTTTTATCTGCTTCTGTTAAGGGGAGGATTATATTTAAGGCCAGGTTTATTGCTGCTTATCGGTCTTCCTGTTTTGTTTTGTTTTTTAATTCTAGTTAGGACATATACAATTTCTGTCCTTGAAATTGTTTCTCTCACTTTTTTCTATTATCTGTCATCTTGCTCTTTTGCCAAGTGCAGACAACTTTTTCACCTGGCAGTCCGAAACATTGTAAACCATTTTATCTAACAATCTTTGAAATTCACTGATCTCAGCAAGGCTGTTTCTTTCATTCCACTTTAACTTATGTGCCTTTCTTTTGTGTTATGCCATTCCCTTCAACACCTTAAGTTTGACTTTTCTCTTTGGCCGTTGTTCCTTGGGGGTAGAATTTGAGTGTCATGTTTCCCCAGGGAACTTTGACTATGTAACGACTGCTGCTGGCTCTGTCTCCCAGATGAAATTGTTTATTCATGTTGGGTGTCTTCCCCAGTGGCCATGCTGAAGTACACAGGACATCATTCAATATGGCGGAACCCTGGCCACCATCTTATCTGTATGTTGGGATCCTGGGACATGGAGATTATACCAATCTATCCCCAGTGTAAAATGGCACTGACAGCCTAATCTCTCAGAACAACGAAAGTCGCTGTTGATTTTGATTCTGTAGTTTTCATAAGATAGAAGCCCCTTTGGACAAAATATAATAGACACGTTTTACAGAATTCATCTTCCTGTGTGAACTCGTTTGTCTCAGCTTTACAAAAGCTCTCCCCCTGCACTTAAAGCTATATGCCAGATACCATCAGAAATATTTTAAACAGTAACACTGAAACACACATTTTGATTTCTGCTACTCAATTGAAACAGTCTTTCACGCTAAATCCTTCAGCTCTTTGATGTCCTAGTGTGGGGTAGGGCCATAAACTCAACTGAAACACCCCACTTTTCCTACCTGTGAGCAGTGGATCTCTTCAACTGGCCTTAAAAGTCGAAAGGTTGTTAAATAAAATAGTTGGGTTTCTGTAACCACAGAGAAGTACGGATAAGCCAAATAAAGACATATTTTTGGTGCATTTTGTAAGCCCACAATAATAATAATAATAAGCAATAATCAAAATACCATCAAAAGATAGCACCTTAGTTCATTTTCTATCACTAATAACTGAATATCATGGGCTAGGCAATTTTAAAAAATACAAGTTTATTTTGCTTACAGTTGCAGAGGCGGGGAAGTCCAAGTGTGTAGTACCAGCATCCTGTGAGGGCCTGCCTGCTGCATCAAAACATGGTGGAGGGTACCACATAGACAGACACGGCAAGCTACTAGTTTGGTTCTCTCTTGCTCTTCTTATAAAGCTACTAATCCCATCATAAAGATCCACCCTCATGACCTCCTCCAATCCTCCAAAGGCCCATTTCCCAAATAGCATTAACATATATTATGGTTTAGATCTAAAATGCCCCCAAAGTCTCATGCATTTGAAAGGTGCTTGGATTAGCTTGCTGTTAAGAGGTGGGCAGAAGAGGCAGGTCATTGTGTGAGTGACCTAGAAGAGTCTGTCTCTCTTCCAAGCTACTCCCATGAGTCTTTGCTTCCTGTCTCCCATGAAGTGAGCAGCTTTTGTCCACCAGACCCTTCCACCATGCCTATTCTGCCTGGAACCAGCCAACCATACAAGGACTGAAACTTCTAAAATGTGAGCCAAAATAAACCTGTTTTCCTAAAAATTGTGGGTCTCAAGTATTTCATCCCAGGGATGAAGAAACTGACTAATACAGCCTACAAATTAGGGATTAGGTTTCCAAATATGAACTTCTGGAGGAAACAGTCAAATAATAGAAGATACATAAAACAAAAATGGACAACAACCTTCCAAGGATAACAAGAGGTAAAGGAAGGTGAACCAAAATGTATTATGCATTCATTCCATGATTAGTCTAGATGTTGTTCAATAGCAATTTTTGCAATTTCAGTCAGAAGAAACAGTTCATGCCAAGGTAACATTGAGGGCACTGGTAGGGGTTAAAAAAATGGAGAGGATGAAAATTAACCAGAGAGAACATGTGGACCTCAGACCTCTGAGGGAGCTGGTGGCCTTCTGAAGACATCTGCCAAACTTTGAACTTGAACAGAAACTTGAGCTTGGTGAGCAGAATTGTGGTTGTGTGTAAATTTAAGATCAAATGCTACTTGGTGGTTATGTATTTTTAAGGCCTGTCATGGTCACATAAAAAGAAAGTTGAAATTCACACTTTACTATGTTAGTCTTCATACACCAAAGCCTTCGGGTGTCTCGACATTATAAGCTATTAAAATGAATTATTGGCTCAATGTCATTCATGATCATAGACTCTGAACTATAGTGTCAGATGGTAATTGTTTACTTTTCTTTATTATCCCTTCCAAGTCTTATTTACTGATTCAAAGAATCCATTCCCTGAACAAGCTAGACCTTCCTCAGAGAAGCTCCAAGACTAACTGAAGATGCTGTCCTGTCTCATTGTGAGATAACTCATAGCTGTCCATTTCCCCAGCTATTATAGAAATGATCTCAAGTACAGCCCTGATTGCTAGGTTTGCTTTTATTTGTCTTGAACTTTTGATCATTCTATCTTCACTAAGAGAAATCAGCAAGGTCTCAGATAGCAAACATTATCCATATATAAAAAGAAACCAACATATTCAAGCATCAAGGCTGCATTCATTTTAAACAACATGAAATTGCCTCTTATTTGAGAGGCTCTATTCCCCAAATCACGTTAGTGCTTTGGTTTATAGATCTTGTTTGGGATTCAAGGTCACCTTCCTAGTTGATTAGCTAACTGCCAAGAGTAGCGATGCCACTGCAAGCATGAGGTGCTATGCAACGTTTGATCTTAGAAGTCAAGAACCTCTGTGTTAACCAGATGATCCAATCTAGCTCCAAATTAACCACATTGAAATACATTAAATAGCCTTTCCTCTTCATGCTGCAAAACATAAAAATGTCATACTCTATAATTGGAGAATGACTGTTTTCATTTGATTCAGGAGATTAGATGGTGCCTTTAATTCTTTTGTCAATATTATCCCAGACCAACAGATGGAAGAGCATGCAATTAAGGAGAAATGAGCATGTGCTCTATGTATTCTTTTTCTAAAAAATCCTTACAAAGTTTGCTTAATGAAAGCTGTTTGGCCATCTCTACCAGATAGGAGTGTTTACCCAGAAATGACAAAGGAGAAATTAAAGGATTTAGGGAAATTCATGACATAGACACAAGGACAGAAGACAAATTCAACTGTCTTTTCTTAGCCTATTTCTCTCATGCAAGATTTCCATTCTAACAGACAAGATTCAATAATCCTTGAGTTTTTCCTTACTTGGGAAAATTGTGAGCCAAATTTTTGTTGAAATAGTAACTCGGTCGCCAAGCACCTGTTAAGCTCATATTGATCATATGCTACACACATAGGCCTGCAGACAGACACAACAGAAAAACTGCCCTGCCCACTAGGGAATCGGGTAACTTATGGGAAGACAAGTGTAAGGAAACAGCTTCCTCTGGTAAGTGTCAAAGAGTTGGGTTTTAGGACTTAGATCTAGGGATCAAAATACAGTACTTGTTGTGTCATCTTGAGTCCCAGCAAGAAAAAGAAAATATATTCAAACAGGTAAAAGGAAAGCTTTTAAAGGGACTATTTACAAAGGTGTGGGGAGGAGAGGGTCCTATGATAGAAGCACTGTAATACTCCAGGATAGTGACTAGCAATAGCAGAATCTTCCAGACTGAAAACAAGGGATGCTAGAGTGCCCAGGGTCCAGGCTAAGCAGAGAATCAGCTATTACCCCAGGCTTGCTCCCTCCTCCACCTGCCACACCTTCCTGCCCCCACCCCTCCCCCCCCACACCTACAGGCATCATAGAGCCACAGTTAGGGGAACCGGGTGGAGAACTGCATGCAGAGTCTGCTGACTATAACCACTGCCTCCATGGAGGGGTGCAACTGACCCTGGAGACCAAGTAGGAAGGAAGTGGGCAAGGCTGACCCAGCCTCTCTCCTCTAGCCTGCCCCCTACTGGGGAATATGGTGAATTTGGCCCACATGGTGCTCTGGGAACCTCATTTTCCTTCTACACCTGACCCTGGGGAAACCCAGTCAAAGCCAGAGGGCAAGGCAGCCAGCTGAGAGAGGTCGTGCCAGGCACAGAGCCAGCCTGAGAGGATGGAAAGCAAATTGATAGGGGAACATGTAGATTCTTATCCAGCACACCTGCTTTTATTTTTCTAAATCAAATTATATCTGATCTCTGACTCCAACCACCTGATTCGAGAGAAATCCAATTTCAGTAAATATCTGGCTACCATTTACCTCTTCCACAGAAGGATAGAGGAATCCTAGTCATTTGCGGTAGAATTACTGGAAAAGGAGCTAGGTTTTGAAGGTTGTTACTATCTATAACTCTGCTGGTGGGGCTACTTAATATTTTCCTACTTTGGGCATTTAAACATAGCTGCTCAGGACAAGATGGGGATACAGCTCACAGGAGTTAGCTGAGGCTGACTTATCCACCTCCCTTCCCATGCACGGAGCCTGCTGGGGCTCACCTTGGCCAGGTGCTTGGCCCCAGCTGTCACCGTCCTGTTAATGGCCTCCCCTGGCCCCTTTCACATTTAGTCCCGGGCAGACCCAAATCTTCAAAGTTCTCATTCTTCTGGTTTAAGAGAATCTGGAAAGTCACCGACATAGCACTGTTACAGGTTGGGAAGGGAGAACAGTCAGGAGCATCACTTCTTCCTAATAACTTGCCCTGTTCCTAAACAACAGCTGTTGTGATAAGAAAATTTACAGTGGTGAAGAAGGTTGGCAGGAGGGAGGGTATTTTCCCCCACACAAACCAGGAGAGAATTGGCCACAAGCAGCTGAAAGAAAGATGTGCAGGAGTCAGAGTGCCTGTGCTTGGCAGGCATCTTTGTTAAATTTGCGGGAGACTGTCCAAGTTTCCTTGGTACCTGCCTTCTCACCTCTGCTAATGATGATAAACTGTTGCCTCAGGATCCACAGCCGCCCTTCCTCACCGCATCTGAGTGTATTGCTGTTACCTTTGAACAACAGATAGCAATTAAGGAAGATGAGTAAGTAGTATAATGTAAAACTGCACAGTTGTTAGTTTGATCCTGCCTGACATCCTCATCTAATTAACAGTGTTTCTGGTGACAGGTTGCCAGGAGACAGTGTATGCCAACAAAGCCATTGATGGTTTAAAAGAATTTTAAAAACTTTTCCGCTTTGGCCACATAACTCTAGTGGTCCATCCGATGCTTCCCCTCTTAGTTCAGTCCAGTGAGAGTGGGAAGGTAGAGGAGGGACTGCCTCACCATCGCAGAAGGGCCCTGCTACAGCCGAAGACTTGGCACTGCATGTGGGGCAGGAGGGAAGAAATTCTCCAAGCATTTTCTCCTTCCAGGTGACTGTTTTGGTCTCTTTGCTTCCCACTGGCTGAGCCCAAAGATGAGCCCGAAATGGGGGTGGGGAGGTGCAGTCCTTCAGAAATGGCTCAGTGGAGGCATACAGGAGGGTAGGAGAAGTTCAGGATGGGCGGCAGAAGGAAGACTACTTTAGACTCTGAGACAGGCTTAGGTCTTCTGAACTTGACCGCATGAGAAGTGCGGCTGCAAGAAAGCAGAAAGAGGTGACTTCCTCTGAGCAGAGTCACTTTCTAGGTAACCCACTGTCATGGATCTAAGACTGTCCTGCAAAGAATCATGAGCTAAACATGCTGAAGGAGAAATGTAGAGTTAACCATCAGGCTGATAAAAAAATATTAAAGGCACATTTTTCTGGTTTTATCCCCTTAACCTCTAATAGTGTAGGTGCTAGGTGCTGGATTTTAGAGAATATCTTGGAACACAGTGGCAAAAAGCATTTCTAGAAAATGGTCCTTCCATCAGCTCTCCTTTCCAAATGTGCAGGGCCCAGCCTTAGACCACGAGTCTCCTTCACAGGAGCAAAGATGTTGGTCCCTAGGTTGCTGAGAGTGCAGTTGGTGAAGAGCTCTCAGCTGTCAGCTGCTCAAAACAGCTATAGATCAAGGGAGCCACTAGGCAGGAGCACACCCCAGTCCGGGCCCAGCGCTGGCCCACATCCGGTGACTGACCAACCGGCCGTGAAGGACCAACCTCCTCCCCACAGCAGGGACATTTGCGAAGCATCGTGCCGCATCCAGGGCTGCTCGTGGACGGCAGCGTCTCCCCACGGAGACCACCTCACAGCCAAATTCTCCCTCTGCCCTGCCGGCTCCTCTCTCTTCCTCTCCACAAGGCGACCCCAAGGACGACTCTAATAAGAAAGAAGGGAAAGGAGGGAATTGACTAATCACCTTCTCCGAATCGAAAACAGCTTCCTCCTCTCCTCTTCTTTTCAGCTCATCCTCCAATCGGAGAGTGAGGGACACGTCACAAAGGTAGAAAATACAGAAGTCTTATAGAGTCCCTTTGGGGAAAACACTTAGGACACTGAAGTTTCAGAGACGTAAGAAGCAGCAGGCAAGACAAAATGGTGAAGGGTGATTTAAGACCATCCCCATGTGTGTGTGGCTTCGTTTGTAAATTACCGTCGCATACATCACTGTATGTGCTGGTCGAAGCCACCACGGAGGCCCCGAAGTCAGGGGTTACCGTGTGGACAAAGCTGAGCCCACAGCCATAAAGTACTTTACAAAGTGGGGGGCTAGGAGTTCTGACTTTGAAGCAACCAGGAGTCCTCCCGGACACCCCACGTAGCCCCCTTTGGGGCGCCGCCTGCTCCTCAGCTCTGCCTCCTGATCCCCACAGGCAGAGCGGGGGCTCTGAGAAGGATCTCGGGTCTCTCTACCTTCCTGTGGGCTGGGAGTTATTTGCCTCTCTTACATTCTCAGACGTCCATTATCGAAGAAGTCTATGATGCTCCTTTCTCATTAATAGAAAGTTGTTCCTTCCGCCAATTTTGGAAGACGATCACGCAGTTTCAATGTTCCCCCCTTTGAAAATCTCAAAGGAAAACTTTGTCTGTGAGATCCCCAGTGAGAGAGTCCACAGGCAGAAGTCCTCTGCACAGGGAGCGCACAGAATCCGAGGCCGACAGCCACGTGACAGCCCCGATCCTGAGGACAGAGCCGCAGAGAGGACACCTGAGAACAAGACTCAAGAGCGAGTGTCGGTGGAAACCATGCTCCTGCAGAGAATGCACAATCTGTAACTGAGCGCATCGCAGGAAGGCTTTGGGGGTCCACCTGCCGCACAGAGACGAGACATCAGTCCCCTCCATCGCCTCCTCCTGCCTGGCCTCTCCTCCCAAGAAGGAGGCGCTACTTTCCACTCAGACTTGGCATTGCAGGAGAAACGGGAAACAAGAGCAAAGACTGCTCCCCTTCGGGCTTCAGCCACACTCCCGTACCTTCAGGGCATCTCTGTCTCTAGAGGGTTGGTTAGAACGGTTTCCCCAGCAGGAAGCAGAAGGAAAGAAGCGGCAGCCCCGCTGCACTCCGAGAGGCGCCGTTGGGGTCTGTGTCCAAGGATGTGGAGCCAGAGTTTGGCCAAGGGTTAGGGCAGCTATTCAGGAAAGACAGAGCATTCTCCGTGATCCAGTGACAAGGCTGAGGTTCCGGAGCTGCAGGACGTGTCCTTGCCCACATTGCAGAGCGCGAGAAAGTCACAGAAGCCCCAGGCTGGCGAGGGGATGCCAGGGAGGTACCGCTGTCTCCTCGCCCACCAGCTCGGCAGACCCTCTTCCGATCGCTCCGCCCCATTTCCAACTCTGCTCCTTCTTCAGAGCAAGCGTTCACTCCAGGGGACTGCTCTCCTCAGTCTCTGTGTGACTCGGGTTACACCTGCACCCCTTTATCTCTAGAGCCAGGGACTGGGGCCCACCAGTTCCGCTGCCTGAAAAGTCTGACACGTTGCCTGTAAGTTTTGCTTCTAGCAGATAGATATTCATACTCTGAGTTAGGTGCTCTCAATCCACTTGTCTCAGGATGCATTTGCCTTAAGTCAGAGGGAAAGGTGACAGTTCTTTTACACTTCCTTTTATGAATGTTGATTAGTAAAGGCTTTTTTTGTTCAGTCAATCTCTAATGACTTTGGAGGGGTGATTCAATCAATTGAAATGAATTCTTATTCATTATTCACAAAACTAAAATTAGTATAAAATAAATGTACACAAAGTATAGTTTTAAGCTGGCACTGCATTTCTGTAATTCTAGCACTCTGGGAGGCTGTGGCACTAGACAAAAGTTTGAGCCCAGCCTGAGAGACTTAGTAGCATTGTGAGACTATGTCTCAAGATGACACTGAGAAAGAAAGATCTGAGGGTGTAGCTCAGTGTAAAAACTGTGGTTTCATTTCCCCGTATAAAGAAATTAAACGGGAAGGGGACAAAAGAGGAGGGTGAGGAGCCAAAAGATGGAAGGTGCTTTATGTTCTCAACTCCCCCATGATGAATGTAATCATTGTGCGCTGCAGACACATGACTAAAACTTAGCACAGACATTTGACACCCATCTCCGACATATGACACTCCCTTTCGATATGCCTCGTGTTTCTGTGTGCTCCCAACTAAGCATGGGCTCTTCAACCAGACACTGATGGCACTGGGGGGCCCACATCTGCACCCTGTGAGCAGCAGGACCAGAGGGCTGGAAGCCCCCTGACCAGACAGCCACACTCACAGGCCCAAAATCCACTGCTCTCCTAAGGTGGCCAAGGCCATGGTCTCAGCCATTCTCCACCTGGACGAGAGCCCCTCGGTAATCTTCCCTTGCCACCCCAATTTTCTTCCTCTTTAGTGATGTGTGTTCTTCCCTTGGGCAAATATCTACCACCATCCATCTCAATCTTATTTTTGAAGAGCATGGAAGGTCCCATGTGCAACTGCTGATGTTATTTCAGCAAAAGATTCAATACACTGAGACTGTCTTAATTGGAACTTTTATTATAAACCAATTTCCAGTATTCGCCATGCAGAATAGTTTCTCACTTCTCAATTGCAGGGTATAAATGTTTCAATTGTGATGTCTATGTGTGGATTCATTTTTTCTTTCATTTTTCTCTCCGTTTCCTTACTTAACATATTGAATGCCATAGTAATTTCTTACAATGCCAATTTTGTGCCGAGTGAAGATTTTTCATACTTGCAGACAGGATTTTAAAAGTGCCAGAATTTAAAAGCTTAAGTTCTTATCAAGGCAAATGATTATAGTCATTTGTGTAATTCTTGTTGACAGTTTTCTTTAACTTTGGTCTCCAAGTCATAAAAATTAATGTCTATAATTTTCTTTATGGTTCCTCAGAGAGGGTTAGCAAAAGACAGAGGAAAAATACCTGCTCTGTAAAAGAGTATGGCCAAAATTGATCTTGTGCATTAAAATACAGAATAAAATAAATGCTAAGAGGCAAAGAAAAGGAAATGGAGAGAAAAAAAAAGCATTAAACAATGATACCAGGGGAGAAATATAAACTCTACAGAAGACAGGTCTGCTAATAAAAAGATAGAGTACTAAATTATCATGACTCTAAACTTAGCTAAATGATTGTAGTCATTTTTCAATTCCTGCTTACCAAGTCAAATTAGAAAAACAAACCTGTGCAGTAAGAATAATAGAGATGTTGCAGAAGAAGTATTGGCAAAACGCAGGTGGGGAGTACTTAGGGTAAATGTGAACATAAACATTTGGTCTGGCTGATATGCATCCTGACATAGTAAGAGAATTAGCAAGCATCGATTCAATGGCTTATAATTGTCTTTAAACAAAGCACTTGAGACATGTCGCAAGATTAGAGGGAAACAGATGTGGTATCATTCCACCTAGCAGGTAAGAATAGCTGAACCCACTATTACAATTCAGAAACTCTACCTTAGCAACATAATGAGACAAATATAATAAGATGAGAAATCTTTGAGCGCTTAGAACACAATGAAATCCTAAGCAAAAGATAAGATGGGTTTCTAAAGAAAATATCACGTTGGACTGAAGTCATAGATTTTTGCCAACAAATTAGAAAATCGATGGCTGAAGGAAATGAAATAGATGTTTCATAATTGGCCTTTGGTGAAGCTTGTGATAAAAAATCTCATAAAATATTATTTGTTAAATTGGCTTGAATTGGCTTAGAGATGAATATAGTCACGGGGACTGAAAATCGGTTGCCCTGTTGAAGGAATATGCCTGGAATGCTCTGGTAAGGATGAGTATTTATTATGTATCAGGACTCCCAAGATCTTCCTTCTTCCTTTCAAGATCTTGATTTATTTGAGCCTAGAGGTACAGATTCGGGCATAACCCATATACAGATAGCAAGTTTTATATTTATTTCTAGCCAGTTAAATGGTAGGCCATCCCTGAGAAGCATGCAAATGTAGGAGGCAATGAAGAAATGCAGTAAAATAAAATACTTCTGATAAATAAGTACAAAATATTGGCTGCTTCTAATAATGTCTACATAAACAAATGAAAGTAAAGTTTTGTTTGCGTTTCTTGTTTCACTGTGGTCTATACAAATAGTAGATTAAAAAAAAAAGCAGGGGTCTAATTTAACCTCCTGAAAAACTTAACCCTGCAGTGACTCCTCCAGTTAATCCTTCCCTCCCTCTTACCTGAAAATCGTTCTTGTCAGTGGAAAAGAAAGATGAGGAAGCTTCTCAAAAAGGCATTTGTGTAGCAACTGAGAGCTCTGTTCACACAAAATGGATGAAAACTAAGGCCTAGAAGTTGTTCACCATTCTCAGGTAGCAGAGGGGGGATACATTGTATCACCAGTACCCCAGGATCTTAATGGTGGACTTCCGGTTCAGTGGGCCTCAAAAACAAGGAACAGATGGTAAAATTTGGTAAAGTGCCTAAAATCTAGGTCACCCAACCTGACACAGAAGGTAGGAGCGACCAGGGAAATAGACGAGCGAAGTCACAGAGAGGGAGGCTTGACCTGAAACGCAGAAAAGTAAGAGACCGCCAGGGATTCAGGGAGGAGAAGGAGAAAGGGCATTTCTGGCAGAGAGAACCTCTCATGGAAAGGCACAGAAAGCAGCAGGGTGCCCTGGATTCACAACAGCAGCCTGTATGTTGGTGTTAATCACCATACATTCAATGCTCACTGCGCAATGACACCCAAATGAAGTAAACATTACATGTCCTGAACATGAACTAAAACTAATAATAGTAACAATAATGATGACAATGGGGAAAGGCCATCTAGAGACAGAGGGAGGGAAGTGGGTGAGGAGGAGAAGGCGAATAAAAAGAACCCAGATGTGTCATGTGCATGAACCTACTCCTTTAGCTGAAAGCTATTTCATTTATTGCAAACACGTACTAATAAAACATTTTAAATTTTCAATTAGAAAAACTTTTACTTTTGTGCCAAAAAAATAAAATATGTAATTAAAAGGATTAGAAAGCATTTTTCTCAT